TATGTATGAACACTAAAAAAAAGTGAAAGACTTGTGTTTGTGGAATTGGCAACCCCATTCATAATTACTGGGACTGTGAAATATAAACGGAATTTAGGTCTCTTACTCAGTAAGAATAAATTATTTTTATTTTTTGAATGTGTCAGAATTGGACTCAGTAAAAGGATTTTTATTATGACTGAGTATTTGATCTGTTTTAAATCAAGCTTATGCTTTTTACTGGCTTCTCACTCATGCTTAACCCCTTAGTATAGGAAGAAAGCCCAGGAATTTTCCAGAGGCTAAAATCAAAGCGTGCTTAGCACAGGAGAATGAGACAAAAGTAAATGAAGGAGTGCTGTTCAGTAATGCAGAATCTCATAAACATGCAAATTAGCTCCATCCATAGCTCACCTCTGAGCTCTCTGTGCCCCTTGGCAGCACTGATGCTGCAGACCTGTCCCTGGCTGGCACTGCATGGCCAGATGTGCTGCAGATGTGCTGCTGGTGCCCCTGCAGCTCTGTGCCCCCACAGGCAGCTCTGTGCTCCACGCTGGAAACCAGCACAGCATGACAGTGAATTGCACCAACAACTAAAGACAAGCTGAAAGCCCAATCCTACCACGCTGGGCTGATGCATCAGTGGTGATGTTCTACTGCACACTCAACAAGGATTTTCAGCATTGTTCTGTGCAGTAAATCCTGCTGCCAGGGGCTGAGCTGCCCCAGCTCTGCTGTTGAGGCTTGACACAAAACTCTAACACAAGGACTGCAACTGAATGCAGTGAGGAAGATCAGAGCTTGGCTTGCAGAAGGTTTTAGAGCTCTGGTTTGGGGCTTTGGCTCTGGAAACCCAGTTACTACCACGCCTACAGGTATCTGGGGTTGCTGCATCAGTGACCCCATAACTGAAAGTGGAGCGATTTCCTAACAGGGAAGGACCACAAGGAGAATTAGGAATGCAGAACTGGACAGAGGTTGCTTGCTGGCATACTCAAGGCTAAATGGTGCTGTTCCCTGATGACAGAAAGCTGAATTGCTTCTGCTGTGGGAAAGAGAAGAGCAGAGGAAAAGTGCAGGCCCAGTTGCAGAGCTGACTCTAATGCCTCAAGGGACAGATAGCAGTAGTCACCACTCCTTCAGAGGAAATTTAATTTGCCCATTTCCCTTCCACACACACTCACATGCTTCCACCAGGGCCTTGACATATGGAAAACTGGCAGTGTTTGAGGCTGGTTGTGGACACAGCAGCTGGCTGACACCAAGACCAGCTGTATTTGCATAAGTAATTGTCCTGGAAAGAAAGTACCATTTGGCACCAATGCAAATGGGGAGAGGATGCAACTTGAATGCTCAGCACATGACCATCACAGACACTTGGGTTTCAGCTAAGAGGAGATTTCACAGCTTCATAAAATCCTGACCTTGCTAAAGTTGCGGAAGAACAGATGGAATTAATGAGGTGTTCTAAGATTTGGAAAATGTATGAAAGTTGTTCCCTTTGCCAATCTTAACTGTTCAATAATTCCTGAGATTTATAACTAGTAGGACATACAGTGTTCTGTCAGGTCAATTTATCAAGACAACGACAATTTAGTTTAGTCTTAGTCCCAGGAGCTGGATTATTTTATACTCTTTCTAGTGCAGCAAAACTGGGAAAAAATTACCACAAAAATGGAGAAGGCATCTCTTCTCAGCCTTGCATACAGTAATTGTTCATCCATGTCCTATCTCAGAACAAGATATCAATGTCAGCTAACACTCATCTATAGATAGGTAGATATAGATACATGTCTGGCCAAAGATATATACATATACCTGGCCAAAGGAGCAGTGCTTCAGCAGTGCTTCATAGTCAGATGACTATGGGAATCTATACAGCCTGCATCTGCAACTATATGTACAGTTCCCCTGGAATTAAATGAGCTACTTATGTCTGTCTGTACTACTGGATATCTCTGTAATGCCTTATTTCAGCTAACTTGTGCCTTGTGGGGACTCTTAACTTGCTAAGCATTTCACTTACAAAACCACAACTGTTCTGTGCTTAATGAAGCTTGGAACTTCCTACCATAAGCTGGAGCCTTTTGTATTTGGAGGAAAAAAAATACCTATAAGGTGTGGTTTTGGAAACATAAGAGAGTCTCCTCTATTGCAAGAGCCTGATTTCTGCAGAGATATTTTAGGAAAGTCTCATAAACAAATACTAGAATTCAGAGTGAGGAGCTGTGAGATTGATTATGCTTCTGCTCCTGAAACAAGATGGCTGATGCAGACTTTTTGAACTTTGTGGTACTTGCAGCTGGGCAATCTCCTCTAACAACTGAGATTTAACAAGTTTGCTTCAGTACCCTGGTGCCAGCAGGGCTGTAGCATAAGCTGACACCATGTGGCTCAGCAGAAGCTGGCAGTGCTATTTGTGCTTTCACACTTCAGCTGTGAAGCTACATCAGTGATGGTCCCAGATCCTGCATGCTGGGATGTGACAATACTTCCCATCTTGGGAAAAGACAACAGCAGTGGCTGTATCTGCATCTGTGGTTGCTTTAGCACCTGGAGCTGTTGAACTCTTGATTCTTGTGGTGAACAAATTCTGCCTAGACTCTAGTTTAGCCTTGGAAGCTGTGTGGTGGGGGAAATTCCAGTTTTGGCAGCAGCTGTGTGGTATAAAAAGTGTGTAGTGCATGAAGAGATCCCAGAGCTGTACAAAAGGTGTTGTGAAGAGACAGTGAGGCTTCTCACATGAAAAAGAACCTCATCAAAATAAGTTTTTAATAAAAAATAAACTTCTTGGCCACCTGGGAACCCACTAGCTCATGTTGTGCTGCTGTTGACCAGCACCCCCAGGACCTTTTCCAATGGGCAGCTCTCTCTTCCCCGGGTTTGTAGCACTGCAGGGGGTTGCTGTTACCCAAGGAGAGGACCCTGCAGGGACTTTGCCTTGTTGAACCTCACACCATTGGTCTTGGCCTGTTGATCCAGCCTGTCCAGATCCCTCTGCAGAGCCCTCCTACCCTCCAGCAGATCAACACTCCCACCCAACCTGGGGTCATCAGGCTTTATACCTTCAAGCAGAACAACTGAATTTTCCCACCCTTTTAAGTTTGTTAAAGACCACCATCTATTTCTTTTTTCCAAAGAAATTTACCAGAATAACTGGAATACACAAGACATTACAGACCCTGTTTCTATGGCCTCACAGCTAGGTACTTTCATTCCTTTATTTCCAGGAACAACCACTGCCATAACAATTTTATTTTTGTGGCTCTACACTAATACAGTACTAATGCAGTGAAGATAATATTGCTAGTTTCGATCCAGCACAGACAAGGCTCAGTGGAAGAGTACGTTGGGATGTTCTAGCAGGATGTTATTTTGGAACCTGCAAGGTCTTAGAATAGCAATATTTTTCCTTGCCAAAGTTATGCTCTTGAAATAACTGAAGTAGAAGACTCTGTCTCATTAGGTCTTATGATAGCAGGACTTGGATTCCATTTCCATGCTCACTTCCAAACAGTGACCCACTCTCAGTTCAATGGAGACAGAATTTCCCATCTTGTTGAACAGGTTGCATTACAGATTGGAGTCTTGTGGTTACACTGCACTTGAATGGACCACGCTTTTTTTAGCATTTATTGAGATCTGATAGTTATTACTGCCATAGGATAGCTCAAGCCTCTTAGCAAAAGAATGCTGAACTGTATAAAAGGCATAAGTAGAGAAAAACATAGAGGGTTTTTTCTGCTTTAGCCATGGGGTGTAACTGTTGGCTATGACACCACTGCATGCTTCAGGTACCACTGTTAAGGTGCTGCCTGGAGCAGTTGGCTTTTCACAGGATCAGAGATTCTAGCAAAGGTTAACCATATTACAAGTTATCCCATAAATAAAACGTAAGGAGAACATACATGTACTGAGAGTTTCCCCATTAGCAAAAAATCTGCAAGGATTTCGGAGGATTGAAAATTTTCCCATGACGCACAGCAAGACCTCAGTGTTGAATCCAAGGTACAGAATATAAGGGAGGAGTTTGGAGGCCTCTATGGAATTCTTACTCTTTTCAGAGGAAACATATAATAACTGCTGTCAATATGCCAGCCAGAGAAGGGTAAATAAAGCTTGCAGTGTCTTTGACCACCTACTTGCTTGTGTAGGCATCGATTCCACATCTAATCATCCTCTGTCCTTTAAGTTTTTCCAAGGGAGAAGAGGTTTGATTGAAAACAGAATGTACCCTGGCTGGCTGTACACAATCCTTTAACATCACTCCTGAATGCCAAACCTTGGTCTTACTAAACTGCTAGCACTTCTGTGCAGTGAGGACAGAGAATGCCCTAGAACTGTGATAAGGCACCATATGAATACTGTTTCCAAACTTTTTAATCTTTCCCAGCACATACAAAAGAAGCAGCTGTCCAAGAGCAAGGGTTGAAAGGGAATCTGATTGTTATTCATCTGGGATCTCCTCCAGCTCCCACTAAAACAGTATTTCCACTGAGTTTGTATATAATCTGATTTCAAGTCTCATGCAGTGAATCCTAGCCAATTCAGCTCTTAAGGGCTGTCCTGACTCAAATGCTAACTATCTGCATCCAAATGAAGGCTCTTCTTACTTATGAACAGATCTTACTCTTCTATCTGTAGCATGAGAAATGTCATTTATTGCCATTGCAAGTGGGAGAATCAATAAATATGGTGTCTCACACAGCAGCCTCTCGTAGCAATGCCTATGTTGTCCTCTCTGTCTTCAATCTTTTTACATTTGTAACTAAACACTTTCAAATTGAAATATTTGACTATGGGTGGCAGAATCAACAGCCTGATCTGAAGAGCCCCTAATGATTTCATCCTGAAGATTTCTTGAGCATGAGTTTAGAGGGAGATTATGTGGCCAAGGCACACAGTTCTGAAAAAAACATGACTCACATAGAATCCACAATACATAATATTTATTTCCAGATCATAGAATACTCTGAGTTGGAAGGGACTCACAATCAAGTCCAACTCTTAAGTGAATGGCCCATATCATATGGGGGTTGAGCCTGTGACTTTGGTGTTTTTAACACCATGCTCCAACCAACTGAGCCAATATCATCCAGCATGAGCCACAAAAAGACTGAAACAACAGCAAGAGAGGTGTCAACTGTCCCACTTTATCTCTCTTCAGTCTGGGTGCCAGTATTACGAAGTCCTACCTGACTTACTGTGTCCCACTCAGCCAATGCTGAGAGCAGGAACAGTTGGCAGTGGCAGGTGGTGAGTACTTCAGTTTCAGGAAAAAAAAAAATAAGTACTTGCCCCACTTCCTTACTGAGATCAGTGAACTTGAACTCTTGTGGGTGCCAGGAACATTATTTAGGAGTGTCTGGAAAGACCTTTGATTCTTGGGCTGAAGCCACTTTGAAAGAGGGTAGTGGTGGTGCATGCAGGAACACATCCCTGTGCTCCTGTGGTGCATCCCTTTGGGTGAGGGGTGATGATTTGCTGAGGCACTCCAAGGAAGCCTGAGTCACCATAGCCTGTGCTATACTTGTTTTTTTGAGGTAAACTGGAAATCTCAGACCTCAGTGATGTCAACTCTGAACTTCTCAGCAGGGCTAAATTCTATTTGAAAGGAAAAGATCAGTAGGAATGATCTCTGTGTTTAGTTATCTCATATCTTGTCTTACATCATCCTCTCAAGAGTGTGCGAGAAGGCCAAAAGGAGACCTCTGATTGTTGTATAAATGACCTGCATAATAGGCTTTTCCTATTGCTGATATGGCATGTGGATGACTGAGTGAGCTGTGTACCTCTTCTGCCTAATTCTGAGTGACTGGAGAGGAAAACCTTTGCTCTGAATCAGTGGGAACTTGAACCTATGCCTCTCTCCCTTCCTAAATGAGCTCTAAATCCAAAAAAACTTTGCTGCAAAAAGTGCTAAGCTGGATCTGAATTTCAGTCTCCACATCTTTTTCTTAGTATTTTCACTGGCAAATGGTACCATTGCATTTGGAATGCCATACATCTCTAGCGATCTAATCATCAAAACATAAAAAATACCAAAAATCATTATCAGTCTTTGTCAGAGACTAGCAAAATGCTCTCTCTGTTTTTTCTTTCCTTGGCCTTTCTCTTACAAGTCTTGCCTCTTTTCAGGCTCCATCTTCCACCTGTTGGGAGAGGAAGTTTTGTCACCCATATTTGCTGCTTTGAGCTGCTGGAAAAATAGGAATTATGTGTAAGCAATTTAAAACTGCCCTCCTGAGAGTTCTCTCAGCAAACAGTGTTTGTAACTCAAGCTGCTCCACCTAAACTGACTCAAAGAGAAAATTGAGTTGTTAAGCACAGAATGCCATTGTCTCTGTCTGAGGCTCTCAAGTTCCACATCTCAGTTCTGACTTTGGGACAGCATTAGGAATGTTCCAGTAGGTCTGCCTGATTCAGCCCATACTCTAACTTCTGAAGTTGTGGCACCTTGTATTGTGCCTAAATTAAAATATATTAAAGCTATATATAGAGCTGAGCTTCAAAAGCTGTCTCAGAAACTGTCTCCCCTTTGTTACAAAGCACAGTCCCACTCATTTCTTTGCTCCACAGAGTGCTGTCAAACGTGTCCAGCCATCCAGACTCACTGCAGTGATAATGTTCATCTTTCAAAGGCAGTGTTTTCAAAGCCCCCCTCAAACCCCACTGGCAGACACCTCACACTATCCCCTGCAAGGGGAATGAATAACTCATCTGTGCACACAGGGGGATGCTGAAGGGAAACCAGGCAAGGCTATTTGCCTACAGCAAGCCTGTCTGTAGCATGAAGCTCCTACCATTCTAACAGCTCAGTCCTGGTTTCTAAGCAATAGCTCAAGCTTCCTCTCTATTCAGCAACTTAAACTACTGCAAAGGATTAAGTAGGCACTTAACACCATATTGAACAGGAGCCAAAAGAATTAATTTCACAGGAGCAAGAAACCAGCACAAAGAATTAAACAAGTCAGGGGGTGAAAAAGCTGTATGCTGCTTAAAAGACAGAAACAACCTACACTTAACTGCTAAAGCTTGTAGTTGTCAAATGTAGCCCTCCCATACTCGTTCCCCTGCCTTGATTTGTGATACTTTGCAGACCAAAAAGACTCTTTAACACAAGGAAGAAACTTCCCATAGAACAGAGTGCAAGCCACTTCTGCCCAGTAGCTTCCCAAAGGTTTCCCTAAAGTAAGTTCCTTTACTGGGTAATCAGCACAGGGAACAGAACTGGGCACCTCTCTGTGACAAGAATGAAATCTGAGTCCTGATGCTGTACTACCTAACCTAAACTGTGGTCCAAGCAGACTATGTCTGTCTCAAAAGCATTATGCTGTGTCTGTGTGCATTAAGCATTATCCTTGCTTTGACAGGGCTGCAGATGCTGTGTAATCTGTCAGTGGGATAGCAAACGAGCTCACATAACCATTGAAAGGCCTTGAATCTGAGCAGTGTAAAGCTGGGCTTACAGGCTGATGAGCAAAGCAAGCCATTCACTGCAAGTAGCAAAGGTGACACAAAATGAACTGGAATGAAATGGTTCACCTCACTAATGAACCACAGGAACAGGAAGGAAGCTGACCTGTGCTGCTCAGCTGTTACTAACAGCCAGCTTCACTGACTTTTAACCAGTCTCCTCCTTTCCACAAAACAACACAGAACCTCAATAATGCAGTGAGAACCTCCAGTGATTCCTCAGCACACCAAGCAAGCAATACCTTTCTGTTGGAATCACCCCTAAAGCTCATGGAAGTCTTGCAGCAGCACACAAACAGGGAGAGCAGAACGAGGCTAAACATCTGCTTGTAGGTTGAGAGTAGAGAAGTGGAGCCCCTAATGTCTTCTCATGGAGAAAGAACCTTTTCCTGATTGAAATAAAAGAGGATCTCTGTGAGAATGCGTAGGTGTCATTAGGATTATTTCATCCAGTTTCCAGGTTTACTTAAACCAAATGTTCTCCATCTATTCTACTATACTGCAAAAAACAGATGGCACATATGCTCAAAGAAAACCAGAAATAAAGGGTTTGTGTAGAACTTGGGTCTATTTCATGGGATCATTGAAAATGTTACCTTTCCCAAGGCACACATTAACATGCTTTGAGTCCTCACACCTTGCCTGCTTCCATTCAGGCAGAACATATCTCAAGATGCAGGAAGTGCAGCATAAGTAATATACTTAATTTGGGTTGATATACTAAAATGATCAAACTGAAAAGTTGCAGCATGCCCTAACAGGCAACACCAAATCTCTTTTACTAACTGATTCTCATTAAAAGCTACTGCAGGCAAAGGGAAAAATAAAATGGAGAGCCAGCAAAATGGAAATTTCAGCCAGCCAACAGGAACAAATAACAACAAATGTCCATATAAGCATTTGAAACATTTTCTCCTTATAAAACAACTCACACAAACAAATATTACTATTCTAAGACCTTGCAGGTTCCAAAACTACCGCCCTCAAATAATGAGATTTATCCCCTTCTGTGCTTGATCCCAAAACACATTCCTTTATGTGGCACTCACAGTATGAGGAAGGAACATAAAAGCCAGGCTCTACCATGCACATAGAATGGAAAGCAGCCTTTTTCCCTCCTTCCATGTTGTTCTATCATTTTGCTTTGTCTTTGGTTTTAGGTTTGAGGAATTTGCTAGCTTTTGCAGACAGGAATTCTGTTGTGCTCGCCAGTAGGAATTGCTGTAACTGTGCTTGCTCACATGGAATAGCTGTGAGTTTTCACCCCATTGCAACTTGTGTCAGCCATGCTGAACACCAGCACATCAGTGCTGTGCAGGCTCCCTCCTCCTGCAGACTAATCACGCTGCCTGGCATCAATGGAGGAGCTTTCAGAGTTGAGGAGTACTGGCACACTTGATTACTCCGCTAATCCTCTTTCAAAGGGCATTGTTGCTATTCTTGGAATAATGAGTAGGAAGTTTCCTTGCTCTGTTAATGGGTCCAATTAGAGGCAAAATTGTTGAATTGCTTTCTGACAGCTTGCTCCAAAGATGCCATGACCCATATCACTTCTGGGTGAAGCAAAAGAAGTCAAAGTATTCAGGCTTTTGTCTAAATGATAATTCATTAAACAACAACTAGTCAAAAATTGCTAGAATCCAAACAACCTCCTGACAAGAAGTGTTTGTTTGGCTCAAAAGGAACACTAAAAGACTTTTAAATGTTGGTTAACTTTTTTAAATGACCTTCCAATGAACAATCTAGGAATAAAAAACAGTTTGCTCATTCTAAAGCATCACATTTTACTGAAAGATACAGGTTCTCATGAGACTTTATCATACATTGAAAATGTGTGGGTAGTTTCTTAGCCAGTTTTAGTGTTCATAAATATTCTCAAATGTTGCCAGAGAGAGATTACAAGAACTTATGCTTGTGCTCAGTAGAAAGGGATTCTGAATTCTAATTTATCTTATTGGAGACTAGCCACTAGATGCTGTTATTCTGGTAGCACAATCCCATCATCACAGACTGAGTGCAGTCTTTTCTCTCTCATTTAGCAGCATGATCCAGCTTTGCTTAGGGTGGCTGAACTTCACCTGAGGAATGAAATCTACTTTCCTGTAAAAGGGTGTTAGTACAGTTCAGAACTGCCTGTGAAGACACTCACCTCCTCTCCTGCACCCATCCCATCTGCTGGCATTCTGATGTCTGCTTCCACACCATAGATATGGGAAAGATATTGGAAAACTATTCACTGATCTGGTGCATTACACTGTCATCCTCATTCTGCAGTGGTGACCATGGGTATAAATGTGACTGCATTTGTACTTGGGAGCTGGAGGTGTCAGAAACCTGATTGCTGGAGAAGATGTGAAAGAGAAAAATTAATGCCTGGATGCTAAACTTGAGTGTCTTGAGTCTTCAACCAGTGTGAGGAACATAGTGGGTCAAAGAAAGCAATGAAGCTACTTGTCCTCTGTGGCACTACTAACATATTTCATAAAGTTAAGGTAGAGCAGCTGTTTGGAAAAAGAAATATAGGCAACTTTTAAAATACTCCCATTAATCCCCACCGTGCTTTATGAGGAAGGTTGTGGGGAGAGAAGAATAGAGGAGTATGCCACTGATGCCTACCCA